TTATTATTATTATTATTATTATTATTATTATTATTATTATTATTATTATTCGGTAAACAAACTGTTTAGGCCTGAATCACATACGTTGCGAAAATTGCTTTCTTTATTCGGCAATCGATTATTTTAGACAACAATTTCTGAACTACAGTTATCCTGTTATTTCCACTAGTCATAGCGATGGACACGTGAAATGAGTTCCAAACAGTGCAGCAGTGGTGCTTGAGTGGGAAGCCGTGCTTGGGATTAACAACTGTTCTAGATTTCCTGGTTGTATAATTCGGTGCTTCTCAAGACAGCGAAATTCTACGTCTTTACAACTGCATTTACTTCTGCTTTCACCTATTTTCATCTCAATGACCAGTTGGGTTGCAATAGAATTGAACGACTCCGGTCGTTCGTTGTGGCCTTGACCTGTTGTTCAACGCGTAGTGCAGAGAAAAGTTTAATGCGCTCTCTGGCATAAATACGTTTGGAAATTCTGCCCGGGGGTTCTAAGAAAATGGAAAAATAGCGGGTGCTAGCCAAAAAAGAGTACACGTGAACATACGAACTCTTAAACGTACTGAGCTGGGCATACGGCTTCAGAAACTTCTGAAATTCTGCATTATCTCAGTCTGAGTCATAACAATGATAACCCTTAACAGAAAAGTTTGCCATTTTTGGCTTCAGCTGATTCGTTTTCTCATCAATTCCGAACAGCTCTTGCATGTAGAATCTCGTCAATAGAATGCTCAAAACGGGGAAGAATGGAGAAACTGCCAGCTGCATCAACAGCGAGAAGAAACACGATGATGAAACAACAACTTGCGAAATAATCACCATCCTATTCTCGCATTCTTTTGAAAAGAAAAATACATTGTTGTACTTCTGATGAATTATTAGAAATATCTTCACACAGTAAAATTGGTTAAAAATTTATTACTCACTCATGTTCATAGCGAGAAAGACATAGATAAAACAAAAATTCCATAATATTATTAATTGTACATGAAATTATTATATGTAAAAGCGTTTGAACAAAAAATTTAGTTTTTAGAAAAAATCCTTCAAATCAGAACTTTTCTAAAAATTTTTTTTTAGGCAGAGAGAAAATGATTTGTGGTCAAGATTTTTGGTAGAAGAAATGCAAAAAAAGCAAGCATTCCAGAAACATCTGGGAAAATGCTTAGCTTTAAACAGATATGAATCAGAAAAATCACATCTGGGAACATCTATGAAACCACCATGAAACTGCTCCTGAAAAATAGACAGAAAAAACGATTAGTTTGCGTCAGGTACCTAATCTCAAATAACTCGGTTGGCTTGGTATTTATATAGCACAAATGGACAAATGATAACACTGATTAGGAAAATTGATAAGATAAATAGCACTGATAAAAATGAAAGCACACTTACTCGCACATTGGCACTTTTCCCCACATGTAAACCTCTACAAACTAGCAAAATCGCCCGGTTCCACTTTATGACGTTATTGGGATTCCCCCACATGTTAAGCCAGCTACGATACTTAAAAAAATTGGTCAAGAACAGTCAAGTCAAAAGTCAAAGCCCCCTCCATTTTCACTCACCGTGAGAGGCGGAGGCGTTCAGAAGCATTTCAAGGGAAGTAAGTGCCAAAAGCAGTCCACTCCCGGCAAAGTTGACAAGCATCTGCTTTCAAGCAAGCTGATGTCTGTTTTTTAACATACGCCACCGAATGAGTCATTGAGAGATTGTTATTTTTTTATATCTGCCAGCTATCAGTTGGAATTTCAAAAGAATAATCTGAAAGCCTTACTTTTAGAAACTGAAAAAACTTAGTTTTTGACTAAAAAAGCAAAAAATTTTAAATTTCTGAAGCAAAAATTCTTTCGAATTACCATTGTCCTTGTTAGGGGGTGAAGAATCGAAGTAAAGTAAATGATAGCGCTTTCCACGCAAACGAGGATTATCACTGGTCATTTTTTAAAAAGATGATTAAGAAAAATCCAGAAACGGCCGGAGTTGGCAATGTGCCAAACACGTCAAAACCAATCAAACATAAAAACAAATCAGCCCACCAAAAAAGCTAATTTGTCCAGCTACTGGAATTGTGTTTTTTTTTTGCTATGTGTGATGAGTGTGCATTCTATCAGCCGGACGAGTTCCCCTACCAAAAATAATCTCATTATATAAAAGGCAGTACTGGATGTGTTAAGGTCGTCATTATTGCAGCTCGTTGGTGCTGTTGGGAGGATCTGTGTTGGGTTGTGGGGTTATTGTGCAGTGTGTTTGTACGTTTTTTTTTTTAATTGAATTAATATTCTGCTAACAAAGACCGAGCCCCGCACAATTGATTATCTTTCCCAAGGGCTCCGATGAAAAAATAGCCATTGCATATCACTTCTTGAGTCACTCTGAATTCTAATAGTATATGCTTTCGCCCTTCCGGATCTTTTTTGATTACTTATATTATTATAAGATTGCGAATACACGAATTAAATCAAATAAATAATGAGGAAAATGATGAGGAAAACGAGGAATATAAGCGGAAATAGGACTCGTGAAACAAGATCGATTCCGTGGTTTTGCTTGAAATGCGCACATTTCGTATCGTATGCAACCTCCACTGTCTGCAACAAAAAAAGACGTATTAGGATTTTTAAAAAACGCTCCAAAAATCAAGTATTACTTCCACGAATGAATTGATTGCATGCGAAATTTATTGGAAAATTTATTTCGATTTTGACAGTGGTAGAAACTAATCCCCCTATGTTTCTTTTATTCATTTCGATGGCAAATTGGTATTGGTAGATGCTACGGAATAGCTATCTTACACTATCACCGCTATCCTACAATTTTGTTTCGCCTTTATTTCATTAATCTCTAACTTCTTTTATTTGTTATGTAATAATAATTTCATGTTACAATCGTTGTACTGGCAAGTTACAGTCATGGCGCTTAGTTAAGATTTATACAGCTTTATGGATCGAAACGCCGCAAACTCCACCTTTTATATATGCTATAAACCTTAACTTTAATACGCTGTAAACTCAGGCCAATATTTTTCATTATTTGCTAATATTTGTTACGGGAACAACTGTTTATGATTTTGTCTAATACTAATAATTATATTAGTATCTAATATCAAATTTGCTATTTTAAAGAACCTTGGGAGGAAGGAATTATCCGCAGCTTTATCAGTGAGTACTTTCTAATAGCAATGCGGTACCACTCGAATTATTTCGGACAGATTCCACCCTGATATAGGACGAAATAGGATCGGCTTTGCATATCCAGAAACTATTATCGGATGTTTTGCAAGTATTGGCCAGAAACATCACTAAGAAACGTACCTCTCGGGTGACAGTAAGCGGTGATTCGTCATCTTTTAGGATCTTTCCATTTTTGTATCGGATTGTCCTTCTTATGCCGCAGCAGATTACAATGAAATACTCAAGCAGTGATGCGAAAGTTAGCAGCAAACAGAACAGAAGCCAGACTTGAATACCGCTTATTCCATGCGTTGACAAGTAAGGTTGCGGATAGAAAATCTGCAAACAACAGGAAATTATGGGCCGTATTCATTGCCACATACCTGCATAAAAGAACATACAATAAAAATCTAAGTTTTCTCAACCCAGAAAAATTAGCCATCAGGCGATGGTATGAGTAGAAATCAGAAAAAATTTTGTAGACTGTCGTCTTAATAGTGAGCCGCAACAAATGGACAAAATGTATTACTGAATGGTACTCATGCACTGTTAAAATAACATAGGGAAAACAAAAAATGAGAGGGAAAGATCCATACGAACGGCCATATGAAATTATTTAAATTTGAGAGAGGCCCAAAACAGAGAAGAACGGAAAAATTGCCAGCTGCATCAGTAACGAGAAGAAACGCAACGATGAAACGACACATCATTAAAATACCAAGGCGGACCTTTTTAATTGTCTTTTTAGATTCTGCACATAAAACATGAGACTTTCGAATTTATGTCAGCCCTGAATGTATTTTATATGAATTAAAAGTATAAAGGGAAGAAAAGTAACAAACCAGAATACTTGCGAATATGAAAAACGGTACAGCAGCACTGATTGTTCGCGGTACAGACCATGAACCGTGCACCCAGAAATGAAGCCAAGACGCGAACAGCTGCAACAGAAAAGTATTTAACCTCAGGGCTCACTGCTCTTACTGACCGTCATACCAACAGTCTCAAAAACCGTTCTAAATTCATAACTCAATCTGTGCAGCCAGCAACTTTTTTATCGATTAAAATCATATGCTCAGGCGTACTTAAAAACTTGAATATTTACTGTAATATGACGAAGCTGTCATTTTTTTTTTTTGGTTTAATTTGAATTTCTTTTTTAGCTTGCCGAATGGATGCAGCAGTTAATTGGGAAAAAACACAAAGTGCAAAACAAACCAATAATATGGATGGGATGAAAATGCGCCAAAATGCTTCGGAAGCTGAACCAGTGAATGTTACGAGTACATCGATACAGGAATAAACGCCTGTAATGAAAATTTGCATTCACAACATCATCAAATTGGGGCAAGTAAAATCGTAATTGAAAATCGAAAAATTTAAATTTTAATACTATTTCAGAAATAATTTGAAGCAGTTCAGAATTGAGCAGATATTCGGTTCGGTTATTTGAGATTTCAGTTTTTGATGTTAAGGTAAAGCCAACATATATCCTAATCTCCTCTCAGGCCACCTAGCCTACAAGGCCCAGTTAACGAAAAGGAAGCGAAATCGGTCCCAAAATCTTTTTTTCCTTTTGACTGCTGGATTTTTTTGTCGCGTAGAGATACTAATCGAATTCGGTTCGGGACTGTCTCCCTCTTCAACACGGTGTTTGCACTCAATGAAAGCTGATTATTTTTAAGGGGTATGGAAGGAAAATGAGAATTTTAGCAGATGGACGAGTACCGGACGATGTAGAACCGGTAAGAGCAACTGGGAAAGTGATCAGCTGCACAGTCGTGAGTTCCAGATATGGACAATCTTTCGATTAATATAAAATGCTCGTATTCTGCGAAAAAAGGAATTTGAATTAACTTTTAAGAGCTTACCAACGGTATAATTTCCAACACAATCCTCAGCCACAGCTTCCTTGAATTCGTACGGGCCAGTGAGCAACTCTTGTGACACCTCCACTGGTACCACGGTTGGTGGTGAATTCGCCCACAAATACACCACATCCTCGATTGGATAATTGTCTGGAACTCTTTTTTCATGAAAAAGGTAAAAAAGCAAATCAAAAATAAGCTTTGCGACGTAGTCATTTTGGAAATATTTCGAGTGATAGCAGTTACATGAAAGTTCATTAAGAAAAATATAAAGTGAAAAATAGCTAAGAGATGGACAAGAAAGAACTGGGGACCCTAGTGAATTCCACAGATAAAAAAAGGAGCGTCAGGATCGCTAGCAAGCTGACCATCAAACAAAGTAGCACTGGTCAGTGGAGCCGAACAATTTGCCATCAGCATATTTAGGCATGTTCTTCGAGTAAAAAAGACCTGATGTGGGATCGTGTCCCTTAAGGCTGCGACGCCACTTCAACAGTTGAGGCAATTTAAACAAATAAGTGAACAAATGAATAAACAAGTAAATAATTGTGCGAGTAAGTAAATGAGTGAATAACTAAATGAAGGAAGAAGTAAACAAATAAATAACTAAACAATTGAATAAGCAAGTGAACAGTAATAGCCGAATAAATGAAAAAATAAGTAAACAAACTAGTAAATAAATTAATGAACTAATTCGTGAATAAACATCTAAATTAATAAAGAAACGAGTGATCGAGTAAAATGAATAACTAAGTAAACAAATAAATAAGTGCGGGGATAAACAAATGGACTCACAGCTTGAAAGCCTGAGTTTGAACATTCGCGTGTTCTCGAACGGAAACTTCGAACCATATTGAGCGGGCACGGTCACTGTGCGCCTGTACTAACAAATGTGTAAACACACATCAATAAAATTAATTATGCATTTAGTTCAGCGAGAATCCACTTCTTTTTTGACTGTAAAATGGCAAGCTAATAGACTGCTGTTGTGAATATATCTGTGCTAATTATATATTACAAAAGGAAGCAAGCATGACATATCCAGAATTTTTTCGAAAAGGAAAATTTCTTTTTCACTAAGTTGGAGTGCTTTTATTATTTTACCGACGAATAACTGGTAGATTTGCGTCACTTTTTAATATTCTTACATTTTTTGTACAGCTTTTACTTTCTCATTCAGGATCAAATGGCTTGGCATAGTTACGCTTATATAGTGTGAGAGCATCCTAATAACATCACTAACAAGGGGGTTCAGTGCTGATGGTCCGAACAGTCTTGATATTCCTGGTGTTTGTCTTGATTACAATACTTTGTTTTGCAACACTTTAGTAATAAAAGAAATGAACAGTCGGAAGAACTCTTCTTAGTCTCCTTCTGTGCAACTTTTATAAAAAACCTTGGCAGTACTAGTGTGCTACTTTTGAATTTTATGTCCTAATGAAAATTGTCAGCAGGCTGACTAAAATGCAAGCAGCACTGGTCAAAACAATTGCAAAAGTCCCCAGCTTCGTACCTGAAGAACATCTGCTCCAGATAAGATTACGATTAACAGCAAAAACCCTGTTCAAAATCTGACAAGCAGTCTGAGTGATAGCAAGTGCCAACAGCAATCAGACACTATCAGGCCTACTGTAGCTCTCTTTCGCAAATCGCTTACAAGCAAGCTGATACTGAATTTGATTCTTATCGTGTCCCAGTACCAATTTACCACCGAAATGATTGAAAAAGGCTGTGAGGAGGTGGTTATCCTAGGTGCTTTAGTTAAAACTTTGTTTAAAAATTTGTATCATAATGGATAGCAACATTTCAGAAGCTCGAACGTATCCGCTAGGCTCCACAACTGTACGGCGTCGTTTGTCGTGATGCACATCGTGGCCATTGGAGAAATAGGTATCCGGAATCCAAACATGTCGATTATGTGGTATGGCTACCTCCTCCAGGCCGTCACGACTGTCCACTTCGTAAGCTAATCGACCGTCTTCCCACTGCTGCCGTAAGTACAAATCGACAACCTGGAACCAAAATTTTGTTGCTACGCCTGTCTCGGTGCATTTAAGAACATTCCACCGTACGGCTTTAATAAAACAGGAATCACAGTGGCTATCGGTAACTTAAAATGACCGATGCTTGCTGGTCCTTGTCACTGTTTAGTATCGTCTTTTGGAATTCAATGATTTCAGCGCTCTAAAATTTCAAGAGCTAGCGCTTCGTCAAGAAGCAGTATTCCGAAGTGATTTAACAAAAATCCGAATACAAAAAATCTTTGATATTTTTTAAGTTTCTAAATTCTGGATATGTGGAAAATAATGGAAGCAAGAATTAAACTTGAAAGTGCACACCGCTTGATCGTCTTGCCATAGGATGCGGTTGATGAAAAGCGATACAATGACGACGATTGCGGAATGGTCGGCCGAATCTAAAAATCCACAAGATGTATGAATGGGATTAATTTAAATGATTGGCTTTAACGGGGCAGAATTTTTAAAAAGGCATTTAATACACAACTTACGTGGTACCACATTTCAAAAATAATGTCAGCAGAATGGAAGAGAGCCAAAACAGTGACGAAATCGAAGAAAGAAAATGTAAGAAAAAACTACCCAAAAACGCTTTCCAATCTGCTTATTGTCACAAACGTAACGGGTATCTATGCATGTAATTAACTGTTTCGTATGAAATGATTCTTAATGAGAATTCGAGCAAAGAACGAGCAGGTTTCAGAGAGCAATCTTCCACTATCGATCACATTTTTACAGCAACGCAGCTGGTAGAAAGACGCAAAGAACACGGAATTTGTTTATGCTTGCAGTTCGGGTCAGATCAATGGGAAATATTTAATAAGCTTGCTTGAAAATCACATGTTTAAGTGGATCAGATGGATTTGCAGACTGTGTTTCATTCTTTGGTTCGCAGTTCGAACTCGAATTTTTTGACGGAGCTCTACATAGTGTCCGCTTTTTTCTGACGAGCCCACAAGAAGAACAGTTGGCAGAGGCGTGAAACAAGGCAACATTTGTTCCTCGAAAACCAGTGCAAATGCAGTTGGTAGGATTTTGCAGAAAACTGAAACAATATGTTGATTTTTCCTTGAAGGGCGAGAGACTTTAATCGATACAATTATAAATAAGGTTGTCTTTCATGCAGTAAAATCACAACTGTAGTAGAGTTTGCTAGGCGAGTTTGCAAACAGTATAAAGAAAATTATAATAGGAAATCATGTGAAGAATGAGTTTATGAAAAATGCATGCTTCTCCAATTTCAACATGAGGCTTGAGAATCAGTTTGCTGAGCACGGAGTCAGGTAACATTTAATTTAAGCAAAAGGTACAAAGGAATGGTGAATGGGTGAAAAGGACAGTCAGTGGAAATAGAGAGTGGTAGAAAGCTTCAGAAAGTTATGGTTTTTTTTTCCAACAAAAAACAGTTTCAGCTATGAATTTTGCTTTCTTACAATTTTGCGTGTTGAGAAAAATTTTGGCGATGACGAATGAGTATGAAGCGAAGCATGATAGCATAAACAAGTTACAGCGGATTTCCGGTAAAGTACTACGGTTCCAGTATGGTATGCGCGGCATTATCAAAGCGAAAAAAGAACTCCCCCTGGCTGCGAGGCAAGAACAAGAAACAACAGATGGATAAAGCGATTGAAGAATGTTACACAAACTCAATGGAACTGTACGCATGAACTAGATCGTAAACAGAAACGGATAAGTTGCAAACGCACAGGAATAAGGAAGGAACGTAGTGATGAAACAACAGCTGGTTAAAGTACGAAAATGGTGTGAATTCGCTAACCTCTGACTGGGGGCCGTGTATGCGAATCGTAATCAGAGAGAATCCTGGACAGTACTTGTCCTTCGAAACCGATTTGCCGCGATCGTAGCACTTTCGGTGGTTGGCCATATACTGGTAGCGCTAAGCCGATGCTGAAAGTAGAAAACACTCGAGAAGTCAGAACTCAAAATTTCCTTCTGTATTCGTTCTCTACGAGAAATGGCGACACTCGGAAGTAGCTTGAGTCGCAAGCATATGCCAATAACAGCCATCCAGTGACAAAGCTGCCGATAAATTCGTCTTTCTAGGACTGCTCAGTAACAAATTTAGTTCCGTGGCAATATGCCAGTACCTGTTTGCCATCGAAACGAATGAACAATTCGTAGAGGGATTAGTTGTTTCTTTGCACCAAGGTACATGGAGCAAAGAGAAATACCACTGCTTTCTGCAAGATAGCAGTGGTATTTTTCAATGCGTCATGCATGTTAGTGCTCAGGAACGTTAATCCACAGTTTTACTTATAAATAAAAGAAGTATGCCGGGTCATTAACATATAATTTTGTTTGTTTGTTTTTATATAACTAATTTATAATTTTTACATTTCACATCCGCTTATACAAGAGATTTTTAATTCCTCCTCTTATTAGTATTTCTGTATGTGTGTTTCTTTTGCCTTATATTTCCCACTTTTGTCTACCAAAGCTTTTTTTGGTATGGAGATATGACACGCCTAAGCCCAGCGTTTGTGGATTTTGCACCACGGCTACCAGAAAAATTTTATACTGAATTTGAAATTGTATACTATGATAGGAGGAAAAAGCAAACAGTGCTATTATTTTGACGGTTACTGAAATTCCTTACACCCTCTTCATTTATTACACATTTGAATGATGCATTAGAAACAGCGGTTTTTGATATGTATTTTTTTCAAGAGTTTTCATTTCTCCCTCAATCTACAGCGTTATGACATGTGAACATTCTAGAATTATAACTAGAAGGATTGGTACCTGAGCAATTCATATTACTTCTTTTTTCACACTCACTTCTTTCTTCCTCATTTTTTTGTCTTTTTCTTGACATGACTCAGTCATGTCAAGGAAGAATTAGTACATACTTCGGGGCTTTAGCTTCTACAGCCTATGTTGAACCTCACTCCAGTTTTCCTCACTTCATCGTTTTTGCAGTACTGTGACAACAGTGTTTTCACTTTGAAGTCGACAAGTGATTTCAACATCAAAAATGCCGGTTTCTCCGCTTGTTTTAGTTCCGAAAGTTTTTTTTTTTCACCCCCACTCTTTACATTTCCTCTGTGCTGGCACTGTTATTTGATATGTCTCGAATGGACAGGTGGAAACAAAAATGAAGACAAACTAAATAGTGTTTCAAAGAAATCTGAGTATTCAAAATTAGATATCGCTTACTTTTTTTCTTTAATTGTATTCCAACTTTTTTATCAAAAACCCGTAGCTCAAAAAGCCGTCCGTTATTTATAGGAATGAGACAAACTTGAGGAAACAAAAATTACAGTACTCTTTTCTGATTTTCATATCGCTATTGCAGCGTAATGCATTAAGACGAGACCACTCACTGATGTTTTTATGATTACTTGCATGCTTGCTTGCCCTGTTCACAAATTTTAGAAAAAAAAAACTAGAAAGCTGAAATTTTGTGATTAAATATTCTTGACCATTTAGGACGCCTAGAACCTGAGTGCGTTACAGCATGTACAAAAATTTCAAAGTCTGCAAAATTCGATTTTTAACTTTTTTATTTAATATTTTTTTAATTTTTTGCGTTTACAAAACAATCCTTAAACTGGACCTAAAATACCGAAAATATCAAGACCGTTCGGGCAGTCATTGTGGGTATTCCATGCTAGTGATGTTATTGTGATGCTCTCGCATGCCAAGTATGAAATTTCTTCGGTCCTAAACTGCTTATTTCCAGTAAGTACCGAATCGCCACTTCTCCATTGTATGTGCTCCACTCTTTATGCACGGGTCTAAAACAGCAAGCCAAAGCATTCAAGTTTTTTTGCTCTGCACAGCGCCGGATATTTTGTGCTCAAAATCGTATCTTCCTATCATTCGCAGTTCTGAAATTGAATTACACGAAGAGGCAAATGCACATACGCTATGCGCACACAGCTCACAATGAAGGTTTCGCAAAAATGATTGAAAAGTGTTTTGCAGAAAGGCAGCAACAATGTGCAAAACAAAATTACCCTTCTACTGCTAGCATTGGATGTTTTTTTCCATAAATTCTCAGCCCAGTTTTGTATAAAAGAGTTATCGCCATCGTATGATTATTTCCCAAAATCATATTACGAAGCATATCAAAACCACCTCGACTGTTCGTGTGGATATTCCATGTTATTGATGTTACCAGGAGGCACCCATCCGCAAAGTGAGACTATACAAAGCCCTTCATGGATTGCAAATCTCCAGTTAGCACCCAAAGGCATCTTATAGGTAATTAAATCGTATGAATAATATCAAATATATATTAAAATAGAAATAGCTCGTAGTAGAAGTGATAAGAACTAAATTTGATTTGACACTTTAATTAACTATAAAATATAGCTTGATTCACCAGTCACACAGCTTGCAGTTTCCCCGGTTGCTTTGACCAGTTCCTCACCTAGTGGTCAGCATGCTGGCCACCCTAACGTTCGTTTCGTTCCGTGAAACGATTACCAGACAAACTTTTTTACAGAAGGAGAACTTGGCAAGGCTTTAGCTCCCTAGAAATATCCTTGGTGGGTGCCAATCACCAGGATCCCACTTAAGATTCCACTGCTCCTGCACTACGATGAGGTACCTCACTGATTAAATGGGATCAGAAACCTGCCGAATCTTTTAAATTACACCAATCAGTTCTTATTACGTGCATGGTTGTTCTCTCCTTCCAGGACCGATTTTTCAGACAAAACACGAAAATTCTGAGTTCCATATACCGGGCAAATAACTAAAGTAACTATTCTGCGCAGGAATGAATGTCCGTGTAATCCCGAAAGAAGTATAAATCCCGAGTTTCCGCCAGATCTTAATTCAGAGATTTGTGGTCGGTAATAAAATGGTACTACAGCTGTTCATTTTTCACATTAAAGTTTTTATGCTTTTTATTGTCCTTTTTCTGTGGCTTTATATAAGATGATTTTTACAATTTTTACACATTAGTTCTCAAAACACAAAACTGGAATTTGGAAAAAATGGAACTTTCAGACCGAGGTTGTTTCAGTACTAAAAAAACACGAAGACTGTCACCAAAGTAGCGGAAGGAATCGCTTGAACGGCTCTGTGGAATGTTGCCCAGTGTAGACGCTCACTTCAGGATCGAAGGGTCCCTCATATTTTCGCCTCGTGTTTGAAAGCATTAAGTAGCGTCACTAACATGGGATCCTCATACCGACTGTCTGGGTGGTTTTAGTATTCTTGGTATCTTTCAAACACACATACATAATCTGCACTTTAAAAAACACACTGTTTTCACGTCATTTGTTTTTTCGTTTTTTCCTTCTTAAAAATGTAAAACGGCATGCCTTTCACTGCAAGCATCCAAAAGAAGAAAAGCAATACCAAGAATGACATGTACGACAAAACAGAGCAAAATTCTAGAAAATTATTTAAGAATATGATTTCGAACTAAATGCTCCTGATAAGCCTAATCAAATTATGGCCAAAAATGGAATTTGAGCGATTTTGATTGCGTAAATTAATATAAATTTCCTTCTGCAACAGTGTAATTTGAATTATATTCTTCATTTTTTTCCCACTTCAATTTATATCTTTGTGCTTGTGTGTAGACGTGCTTGTGCAAATATATGTGTATTTATGTATATATGTGTGTTTGTTTGTTTGTTTGCTTGCTTATATGTATGTATTTATGTATGTATGTATGTATGTATGTATGTATGTATGTATGTATGTATGTGTGAATGTATGTATGTGTGTATGCATATGTGTATGCATGTATGTGTGTATGCGTGTATGTTTGTACATATGTGCGTATTTATGTATGCACGTATATTTGTATACATGTATTTATGTATTTACGTATATTTGTTTGTTTGTATGTGTGTATGTATGCATGTATGTATTTGTGCCTGTACACTTGTTTGTATTCAAGTATGTGTGCGTGTATATATGTGTTTGTTTAATCACTGGTTGTAAACCGAGGCGTCCAACAGACTGAATTAATTTTGGAAATAAATTCCGTTGCTGCTTTCTTTTTCAAGGATTTTGTGAAGTCCTTTAACATCAAGAAATGTGTCAAAAACTCGTGGAAAAACTGACAGTGAGTATCAGGCTGGCACTAGTTTTTTTGG